GGAGGGGCCTCGGTAGACATCCCCGCTATCCTTTGAGAAGGGCCTCTGAGTGAGGGCAAACCAGAAATGACCAGTCACTGTGAAAACTAGAGTGTGGCCCCACTCATCCCAGTCACCAACTGGAACAAAGTCCCTGCTCACGTTCCTCTCCGAATGAGGACGGCCTGTTCCAGGGCCTCTGTGCTTTTGGCACATACAGTATGCACAGTTACCAGGCATGCCGGGAGACAGAACCAAATGATGGAAGAGAAATAAAGAGAGAAAACAGACAACAGAAGTAGACCCACGTGTTCTCCAAATGTCACAAGGGACAGACATGATGGTCTTTAAAATAACTGTGGTGAATAATTGCAGGACGGTAGACAAGAGGGGGAATCTCACCTGAGGAAAACAAGAACCCATAAAAGTTTGGCTCAGATGGAAATTCTAGAACTGAAAAATACAATAACCAAAATGAATGCAATACCTAATTCAAAGACATTAGATGCAGAGGGAGAGGGCATGGCAAGGTAGTATGTGTCTTAAGAAATTGGAAAGACAACAGATTTCAAGCCCAAAGAAATGACAAGAGAGGAAGTAACGAAGATGAGAGCAGGTGTTGATGAAATAGAGGAGTAGCTGTGGCTGTAGAGAAAGATCTAGAAGGAGCAGCAGAAGGCGGGGGCGGAGTGCTGGCTCTGCCACCATCTCTCTGTGTGACCTTAGACGAGTCGCTTGCCTTCTCTGAGCCTCAGTTTCCCATGTCAGGAAAATAAGCATGATTATCCATTTGGCCCGGTTGTGTGGGGATCCACACGGAGGGATGTCCACATGGAGGGGGGTCCACACAGAGGGCAGCACTGCACTTCTTCACGCGACGTGCTGATGTACCCACCCATCGACTCGCCCCCTTGGTCATTTCACTGGCAACTCTCCTGCAGGGGCTTTGCGGAGAGCTAGGGGGCATCCCAGCCTTGGGGGATCTGTGCACCGCGGCAGGCATGAATGGAATAGAAACCCGTGCGGTTCATTCCCCAGGCTTTCCAAGCATTTAAAACAGCTCATCTGTCAGTGGCTGGTCATTGCCAGCCTCTCCCTGTTGCCAGAGAGGTTTATCCTTGCTCAGCACCCTCTTGAGGGAAATCATGACTTTCTGGATCCTTGAAATGTGTCACCATTGTGCCAGTGACCCCTTTAGACTGTCACATACACGTTCTCCGTGCCTCCTCCAGTACAGGCATACCGTGGGGATCTTGAGAGTTCAGTTCAGTGCGATCCAGCGGATATTGTAAACAAAGTGAGTCAAATGAGTTTTCTGGAGCGTACAGAAGTTATACTTCCACGGGGGGAGTCTGTTATGTGTGCAGTAGCATTATGCCTTAAAAACACAAGGTGCATACCTTAACGTAGAAATCCTTTTCTGTTAAAAAGTGCTAACCCTCATTTGAGCTTTCAGCCCGCCGTAATCACTGATCACGGGCCATCTTAACAAATCTAATAGTGAAAAAGGTTGAAATATCGTGAGGATGGCCAAAATGTCACGCAGAGATGCGACGTGAGCGAACACTGTTGGGAAACGGCACCGATAGGCTGGCGAGGCACAGGGATGCCGCTGTCCAATTCGTAAGAGACGCGGTATCTGCAAAGTGCGACTAAAGGGAGCGGGCTTGTCCTCCAGCACGTGGCTGAGAGGTGCCCGTCACTCTGCAGGCGGGCCAGGGGGCCGTGTCCCCGGGGGAGGTGTGGCCGGCCTCCCTCGCCACACGCTTGGTGCGCGCAGAGGTCTCAGGCCCGTGGCATCTTGGTCCGGGTTCCGCTCCCGGGAGCAGGGCTGGCTTTTGCCCGTGTGTCACAGGCTGCATCACTTACTGGGGTACAGGGCAGTCACGCTTTCCTCGTTTCTTCCCCGGGGCCGGGGAAGGGGTGGAAGGGTGTTCTCGCTTTTCCATTGCCGTGCACGCGAGGGCTTTGGAAAGCACTCACTGATGCTGGCACAGAAGGTCTCTGCTGGGATGGGATCCGGGCGAGCGCTCTGGCCTCGGAGATGCGGCTACCGGGACGTGCTGAGTGGATGGGAGGAGGGTGTTGTGGTTCCCCTGCTTCTGCAGCCCAGCCTTGCCCTCTGTTCCCTCCCTCACTCCAGCCCAGCATCAGCTCAGAGCATGAATATCTGTCCCATGGAGCCAGGACCTTGTAGGGACCCTGACAGCTCATTCAGAACTTCATTTGATCTGTGCGGTCCAACAGTCCTCTGTTTGAGTGACCTTGTCTCTGCCCTTGGTGTCGGCGGGTCCCCATGTCACTCTGAGCAAACTTAGCCTTTCTAGTGGCTTCCACAGCCCCGCGCTCTCCACCCCACCCTCACACATGCCTGTTCCTCTCCTCCACATCGATCCGGGTGGACCAGCCTCCTTTCTCCCAAAGGCACCAGGGCCTTGCATCTGCCTGGGAACCTCCCACCTTAGACTCTTTCTCGATGCGTCCCAACCACCTATCCCAGAGCCTGGAGCATCGCAGAGCCCTAGAAAATATGCAGTGCGTGGATCAGATGACTGGACCAGCCTTGCCTGGGTGACAGCCCAGCAAAGTGGAAAGAATCAGTGGTACCAGCCCCATTTTCCAGTTGAAGAAACAGTTCAGGGAGGGCAGGTGACTCGTTCACGGCCACACAGCAAACGGGCGGTACAGCCTCGTTGAGAATCAGCATCTTCTGATTCTCCGTCTGTGCTTTTCTGCCCAGCTCTCCCCTCTGGATGGTTGGCCCTTGTCTTTCCCGGCATCCGCTTCGGCGTTCCTTTGGTGCCGTGTGTGTGTGCCAGGTGACGGGGACCCAACAGTGAGTGAGACTGAGTTCCTGTCCTCGTGGGGCTCCCGGCCCAGGGAGGAGACAGATGAGTAAACAGGACCCCCGGCGTGGAGCCAGATGCTGTGGAAGCCAGAGAGGAGGCTGCTCCTGCCAGGAGGAGGCGGGCCTTCTTCCAGGAGTCAGCACCAGCTGATCCCTGAAGAACGAGTGGGAGTCAAACAGGGCAGGATGGTCTTTGCACACAGTGGGGTCAGTGTGGGCAGGAGCCCAAAGGCAGGGACAGCTCTGACCTGTGGATCAGTCGCACTGCTTCAAGCTAGAAGCAATCTGCTTTACAAAATAAAGGGGCTTTGTTACCTGTCTCATGTCACGCAGATGTTAAGGCGGAGGGTGGACTGCAGGTGAGGCTGGGCCAGGTTCAGCACCACCTGCCCCGGTCCTGCTCAGCCCTCGCTTCGTCCACTTGAGCCATTAAACCGGCCAGCACGACCTTGACTTTTATGTCCAAAAATCGAACAGCCAGAGCAAAATCAAGTTTCTTCGCCTCCTGCAAGTCAGGGGGTTTCAGTCTGACTGGAGGACTTAGCACACATACCCATCCATCCCTGGACCGAGAGGGCCGGGAATGCCCTGCCAGCCAAGTCAAATCCGAGCCCGCCCTTGACGGTAGGCAGGTTAATCTAACTCAAGCGACAGAGCTGCTTCTTCCTGGAAGAGCCGGCCGGGGTGGGGGAGGGGGGGGCCGGAAGGGACAACTCTGGACACCCGTAGGTCACCAGGACAAGTGGGGTTGTTTTGAACAGTGACAAGTGGTGCACTGGGCAAATCAAGATGTCCCCTTGCCCGCTGGGCTGAAGATCGGGAAGGTCGTAGAGGGCGGTAGCACATTGGAGCCCTGGATGTCTCCAGGAATGCGCTATGGATTTAATCTGATTTTTGCCCCCCCCCTTTTTTTCTATAGTAATCAATAGCCCTCCAACCGTTACTTTCCTAGAAAAAAAAAAAATGTACCTGTGGCATCTACACATTGAGGATGGGGAGGAATTGACCCGACGGAGATTGGGGCTGGGGCAGGGGACACATGCTAAGCAAAGAGCAGAGTCAGCAAGCTCCAGTGAAGAGGTGTGACCGCCATAAGGTCGGGGACGTCCGGGGACTTGTGCTGTGCATATCCGAGGAGTCCCTGTTGGCTTCCTTTGATGAGATCTGCTCCCCCTTTCGGTTACACCCTCCCGGCCGAAGACCAGTTGCCGGATAACGTATCGCTTCCCGAGCAGAGTCCTTGAACCTGGAACTCCCCGCCCCACGTGTGGAAGCAGAGGGGTGTGGATTTGGATTCAGGACCTGCTTCCTCTTTTCCCCATGACCTGGGGAGGGCCATGTGGTCTCCTTGAGCCCGTTTACTCTGAGGACAAAACGGGGAACCCCTGTTTGTCTGGCAGTACACTTTGAGGACTCTTGGACGAGATGGGTACGCAAGAATGATCGACCATCGTGTCCGGCTTTTAGTGGATCATCCAAGAATCCGCATTCAATCATGGAAAGAGGAGAAGGAAAGCTGAACAATCACCTAACAGATCCCAGAAGCTCAGCCTGTCGCATTTTACCTTACCTTTCTAACCACTTCTGAGTGGAGGTGTTGTTTTCCCATTTCACAGAAGAGGAAACTGGGGGCCGGGAAGACTGATGGACTTCCCAAGACCACAGGGCTAGTAAACCAGAACTTGAACCTGGGCCATCGAAAGCCTGCTTCATAGGGCTGAGGCTGACCGGCAGAGGGTGCATGCCGGGGTGCGCGGAAGCGTTGAATTGTTGTTGAATTCGGAATCCAAAGGAGAGTGAAGGAGCGAGAAAGGAGCATGTACGTAGCAGTCTCTGGGTGCCTGGCGCTGTTCGTGCATCGCTGACTCGTTTCACAAACTTCGGCTGAACGCTTACATGTACAAGGCTCTGGCTGCCGAGAGATTGGGGGGGGGGGGGGCAACTTCTGTGTCCCTTAGCAACCTGGCGGAATAGGCGCCAACATCCCATTAGCCACAGGCACACCCCGAGGCTCAAGACGGGGAGTAAATCGTCCATAGCCTCCCATCTCGTTGGCTTGACAACAGAGTGGGAGATCACGGAGCTCATCCTGGAGGAGGTGAGGAGAGAGAGATGGGTTTTTATAACAAGCTAATGCGATTTCACCCTGTTTTCTTCCTCCTTTTCCGTGCAGGTGACAGACGGCCCTCAGTGCCTTCGTCAAGCAGGCTGCTTAATGGTGACAGCGTGGGAAAGACCGGGTTGTAATTAAGTATCAGCACACATCATCCCTTCCGGAGGACGGTGGCAAAGACACCTTCCCTCTCTCCTGCACCGTAACCCTTCCTTTGAGGTCCTCACCACCCCCCCCCCCCGAGAGTCCCTGCATCTGTCACAAAGATTAATTGCCCCTCAACCCCTTTGGATGGGAACGGAAATCATATTATTAAGTTTGATTAAAGCTTCGAGAGACACTATTGGCTGTTTAAGGACTGCTGACCAAGCCGCCTGCTTATCTCCTGGAAAGACAGATTATATGCAAGGGGAATCAACCTCACCCCGAGTGGTCACTTAGCCGCCGGCCATCACAGGGTGATGTCCGGCACACTGGGGTGGCCGCTGGCCCACGGGAGCGAAGTCGGCCGCAGTCCCCCTGGGAGTCCCCGCCTCGCCTTGTGACCGAGCCTCCGTCTCTGGGATTTTTCTTCCGCGTGCCCCCCCCCGCGCCCCCCCCCTGCTCCCGGGCGTGATTTCCTCCAGCCCGTCCCTGGGAGGCGTCCTTCCGGACAGAGCAGAAATGGTGACCGTGAGGAAAAGGACTCTCAAAGTGCTTACCCTCCTCGTCCTCTTCATCTTCCTCACCTCCTTCTTCCTGAACTACTCCCACACCACGGTGGCCACCACCTGGTTCCCCAAGCAGATGGTCGTCGAGCTGTCCGAGAACTTCAAGAAGTTCATGAAGTACGCGCACAGGCCCTGCACGTGCGCCCGCTGCATCGGGCAGCAGAGGGTCTCGCCCTGGTTCGACGAGAGGTTCAACCGGTCCATGCAACCGCTGCTCACGGCCCAGAACGCGCTCCTGGAGGAGGACACCTACAGCTGGTGGCTGGTGAGAGCCAGGGACTGGCTGTGGGTCCGGACTGGGTGGGGGCTGGGCCCCTGGGGGGCCCCGCCAGGCTCTCATTCATTCACCCAACAACTATTGGTCGGGGACCCGCGACGCGTAGATCAGAGCAGAGCGTTCTGCGTTCGCTTCCTGTGTCTGCGTAGACGGCTGCCCCAAACTGGGTGGTTTGAAACAGCAGACACATCACGCCAGGCTCAGCTGCCATCTTCACGCGACCCTCCCCTCTGGGTCTCTCTGGGTCTCTGGTCTCTCTCTCTCTGCCTTTCTCTCTAAGGCCACCTGTTACTTGGTTCAGGGGCCTCTAAATCCAGGATGCTCGTTCATGACCCTTTTCCACAAGGGCCCCTTCACAAGTTCGGGAGCTGGGACGTGGTCATAACGTTTGTGCAGGGCCACCGCTCCGCCCACTAGATATCGAGATGCAAAAAAGAGACACGGTCCCTACTCTCCTGGAACTCTGTTCTGGCCGAGAGAGACAGATCCGAGACGGAGAAGCCAAGCTCAGGGGGAAGTGCCCTGAGGAAGACCAGAGGAGGTTTGTGAGAGAAGCCAGGGGTCAGGGGGCTCCGTCATGGGGCTGTTGGGGAAGGTCTCTGAGGAGGCAGGACTTGAGCTAAGCCCCAGAGGTAGAGGAGGCGCCGGCCACGGAAGGGTCTGGAGAACGTGCCGGAGTCACGGCAGCAGCGAGCACAGGGGCCCTGGGGTGGGGCCCGCTGGGTGTGCTGGCCTGGAGGTGGGTGGCACCATGGTGAGGCGTCGGGTTTGTTCTGTGTGCACCAGGGAGCCTCCGTGGATCTTAGCCAGGGGCGTCCACGATCCGGTCTAGTGGTCTGAAAGGTTATTCCGGGTGTTGAGCCCCAAAGTGGATTGAAGGGGAGTAAGAAATAATTCCTCCCTTGGAGATTCCTTGGGCACTTCCTGTATGCCAAGCGCCAGCATACGGAGATGGAAAAGTCTTCCCTTTCTTGGGTTGCAGGGGTGGCGAGGGAGGAGATGCGCCCAGCCGCACGCCAGGGCGATAGAGCGGTACTTGGGAGGGAGCGCAGGAGATGCGCAAGTGCAGAGGAGGGGCGTCAAACCCCACCCTGGGTCTGGGGCTGTCGGAGGAGACCGTGGCCACGCTCATCATAAAAGATTCAGAGAGGTTGTCCGGGTGGGGACCGGAGGAAGGGCTCTCCAGGCAGAGGGACCGCTTGGTGCATCGGCCTAGAGGCGTGAGAAAGACCGGTGGGGTTGCTGGAGGTGTAGGGCCTCCTGGCTAAAATCCGAATGCGAATGGGGGGTGTGGGGTGTGAGCCATGAGGCCATTGACGTTAGCTCATGAAGGCCTTCATGTATCCTGTTATGAAGTGGAGTTGAGTGAAGGCTGAGAAAACCAGGGGGGGCTTCCTGTAAGAAGCCGACTTTCCCTCTCAGCAACTCTTTTTTTGTTTCTTTCTTCTTTCTTTTTTGTTTTTTGTTTTTTGTTTTTTGTCTATTTTTGGGAGAGAGCGCATGGGGCAGGGGAGAGGCAGAGAGAGAGGGAGACAGAGGATCCGAAGCAGGGTCTGTGCTGACAGCATAAAGCCCGACATGGGGCTCGAGCTCACAAGCTGTGAGATCATGACCTGAGCCAAAATCAGATGCTTAACCGACTGAGCCACCCCGGCGCCCCTCTTTAAGCACCTCTTGCACTCCGGGAGCTTGTGGTCCATTTGGACAGCTGAGAAGAGGCTGAAATGACTCAGAAGAAGTGAATCGGAATGCCTGGGCCAAGCCTTGGTTCACTCACTGAGCTGTGTTGATCACGTCAGTGTGCAGGTCCTGGGGTGCGTTCCGGGGAGGTGACAGAACAGAGCAGGCAGGGTCTACACCCCCTCGAAGATTCCAGAGTCTGCTAAAGGGGGCAGTGGACCAAAGCTTGGCCAGGCAGGGTTTCGCCCTCACACTCTTGACACTTGGGCCTGGATACCTCTTTGTTTCTGGGACTGTCATGCACATCGTAAGACGTTTGGCACAAGTATCCCTGGCCTCTACCCACTAAATGCCGGCCTCACCCGTCCCCCAGCTGTGAGAACCAAAACGTCTCCAGATGTTACCAGATGACCCTGGCAGGGAACTTCTAGAGTGGACAGCCAGGACGGTCTTCATCCACCTCCTTCCCTAAGGCCCTCAGGGAGGGCAGTTTCTAAAATTCGCAGGCTGGGCCGAGCCCAGAATGTACAAAAAGGTGTAAGAAAAGCACATCGGTTTCTCGCTATACCCTAGGTATCTTCACAGAACATGCTCTGTGCCTTCTAGACTTAGAAATCAGGGTGTAGCGTCATGGTCCCTGGGTTTTGCTCCCGACGTTCTAGGTCTTACCAAGAGTGCTTTTGAGTGAACCTCTTCATCTTGCCGAGTCTCAGACTGAGGTTATACCGGCCGCCTTGCCCACGTTCTCTACGACACGGCAAACATTAGCTGCTAACATTTCTTTAAAAAAATTTTTTTTAATGTTTATTTATTTTTGAGACAGAGAGAGACAGAGCATGAATGGGAGAGGGTCAGAGAGAGAGGGAGACACAGAATCGGAAGCAGGCTCCAGGCTCTGAGCTGTCAGCACAGAGCCCGACGCGGGGCTCGAACTCACGGACCGTGAGATCGTGACCTGAGCCGAAGTCGGACGCCCAACCGACTGAGCCACCCAGGTGCCCCTAGCTGCTAACATTTCTATTTATTTATTTATTTATTTATTTATTTATTTATTTTTTGCTGGCTGAATGGGCAAGTAGTAATGAATTTGCTTTCCGCCCCCACCCCTGCGCTTATCAAGGCTGAACATTTTTCCAAGTGACTGTTGGCATTTTATCAAATTGTCCTCCCACGTCCCCACCCCCAGCTCTTATCTACAGCCCTTCTTTTTCTGCAGCTCAGCCCCTGGTGGCCACTTGGAAGAGATGGGCGCTGGGAAGAGGGAGCCCCCGGTGAACAGAAATCGATAGCAACGAGCCGGGCGTTAGAGCTTCCGGGTTCCTTGACGGGATGCGGGCCACATGTCTGGAGTGAAGAAGCAGGACACCACGTCTGACAGGCACCCCTGTTCTGTGGGTGGAGGCCCGGAATATTTGCAATCAAAAGCAGCTTAGGGATTCCAAGATGCGTCAGGGCTGGGCTTGTGGGCCCCCAGACAGCCGGGGCATAAATGTCCCTGATGGATCCAGACCCAGGGCTCCAACCACAGAGCCCGTGCCTTTAAAATGTCGTGAGCCCGGTCAGAGCCCAGCTGCGGGGCGCTCGGCTGGCAGGGAGCCAGCGGAAGGTGGCTCACACCGTGTGACTCCCACACTCGCCGCGTCCCAGACCCCTCGGAGCCCGGCGTGGAGCCGACGGCTGGAGTCGACACTTCCAGCTCGGTCCGTACCCAGGGAGCACCCAGCCAGGCGAGGCCACTCAGCCACCAGTGGGGGAGCCGGGCCCACAGACCCTTTGTCCCTCCTTCCCTGGGGTTTTGGGAAAGTGCGGAGGATGTGATGTCGGGGCCTGGGGCCGACCAGCCGAGCCGGGGGGACTCTGAGGCCAGAACTGAGCTTCAAGGTCCCCGTGGGTCTCAGGGGCCTCCCGGCAGGTGAAAAACACAAGGCAGGTGTAGCTCCGACGGGAGCAGGAAGACCGGGGCGATCGCACAGGGTCCCCCTCGGGCTTGGTGCCCGCCCCCCATCTGCCTGCCCGGTGACCTTCTCCTCCGGCCTCTGTCCCAGGCACCCTGTGTCCCGGCCACATTTCCACTCCTGAGACAGGCCACACGGTGTTGGGCCCTCCCACTCCGTGGGGCCCGGGGTCCTGCCCCAACCACAGGACACGTCTTTTCTGCCCCGATCATTGTGCTCAGTGCACTTGATAATCGCAGCCCCCATCCAATGCCAAGAGCCACTCTGGCCAAGCTTTCCAGGCACTGCCCTCCAGCCCCCCGACTTCACCACAGCCTGGGAGGTCATCTTAACCTCTGTTTCTCACTGGTGAGGGGCACAGTGGGATCACATTCTAGTGCCTAAGCCCTGGAGCCAGGCCCGGGTACTCATCTCTTGGGGGGCCCTGGGGAACCCACTCCACCTCACTGCACCTCAGTTTTCTCATCTGTAAAATGGGTGCCTCGTATCACCTTTCTCGTAGGATGGTTATGGGAAATAAATGAGGAAACGCCTGTGAAGATCTCAGCGCAGGGCCCGGCGTGTAAGAGGAGCCACAGAATGTGTGGGGGGCGGCTGGGTGGCTCAGTCGGTTAAGCTTTCTGACTCTTGGTTTCGCGGTTCAGGTCGCGATCTTGCAGTTCGAGAGTTCAGGCTCTGTGTCAGGTGCAGAATCTGCTTGGGATTCTTTGTCTCGCTTGCTCCTCTCTCTGCCTCTCCCTCTAAATAAATAAATAAATACACAAACTTAAGAAAAAAACAAAAAAACAATGCACGCCCCCACCTATGATGGGCTTTCAAAGTCCGGCAAAAGTCCCTGCTCTAACCTGCCCGCGCCACACGGCATCGAGCGCGTGATGGGGGCTCAGCAGCGATGGGTCCCATGGGTGTGTGAATGTGTGTCGACCCTGGTCGAGGACATTCACGTACTCAGCAAGCACAGCAAAGGCACACGGAGCAGGCTACCGAATGTCACGCCTGTGCTTGTGGCTCGGATGCCGAGGGGGCCGGACAGACAAGCCCACAACAGCTGCGGGTCACACGACGCCCGTGCTGAGGGACCCGAGGTTCCCAGCACACGCATGAGGGCCAGGACCAATATCGTGGGGGGTTGTGGGAGGCCTCCCAAAGGAGGAGCAGGGTTCACTGGACGGAGAAGGAAGGAGGGATGGGAGGAGAGGGTACCTCTTTGCAGCACACGCGGGGGCTTGCGACAGGGGGCACAGAAGGCCAGACATCACGCCTCCAGGCTGGGCTATCTGTGCTGTGGTTCACGCCCCCAAGATCCCCGTGGGATCACGTGCAAGGGCACGTGCAGTGAGGGAGGCTCTCCCAGACTGTGCTCCGAGCGTGAGTGTGCCCAGGATGTGCGCCTCCCTGTCCCAGCCCGCCGAGGTGGGTCCCGCAGTGGAGCCGGCGTGCCCGGCCCTCCCTCGCTGCGGACAGCGCCCGCCCCTCGCGGACGCATCCCGGACTTGGCCTCTGCTTCCCGGCCCCGCCCTGAGTCGCAGGCGTTCTCGAGGTTCCCCGTCCACAGTTGGCAGGTGCCTCCGGAGCACGGACTGGATGCAGACAAGGATACTGGGAAACTCCTCAGGACGAGCGAGAAGGGGAGGGTGAACTTTGAATGCAACATTCTCTCCGATGCGCAAGTCAGCACCTGGTAGCACCCTTCCTGTTACTTACAAGAGGCAGGGAGACGCGACAGACTGTTCCTTCCCAAGGAGGACAGGAGCAGGGACGCAGCATTGAGTGCCCTGCCCCGACTGACCCAGCTGGCGGGTGGGTGATTTCGGATTCTAATCTGCAGAAACACAGCCCGGCTTTCCTCCCCCAAGTTCTTCCCGGCTGTGCGGCTGACGCGCCCAAGGGCCTGGCCCCTTCCCCTCTTGGGGCCTCGGGGTCTCCAGCGCTGCCAGGAAAGCCCTGCAGCGGACCCCGAATTGCTGACGTGGGGCCATGTGCCGCCTGTGCGTGGCCAGCGGCGTGATTCTAGGTGATGCGAGGGCGTCAGACGCGAGGGTTCCAGAATCGCGCATCTCAGAGCGAGGAAGGGAGTCCGCTGTCATTCTCTCGCTGGGTCTGCAGTCGCGAGGACTTGAACCTGACCCGATGTTTCCTTTTGCACTTCAACCCCTGCCGGCTTTCCTTCTAAGGGAGGGTGGGCGTCTTGCCCGGGGCAAGCAACTGAATGAGCCCAAATGAAATAACGTTATTTTGTTTTCATTGTTTTCTGCAATTACTTTCTTCTCCTTCTCCTTCTCCTTCTCCTTCTCCTTCTCCCCCTCCTCCTCCTCCTTCTTCTCCTTCTTCTCCGGCCAAGTAACCCTTGCTGTCCCTTTGTGGTGGGGATGTGAGAGTTCCTTTTAAAATGAACTTACTTCTTTTTTTTTTTTTCCTGCAATGAGTCATGAATGATGAGTAAGTCAGTAATAGCCGGGCTCAAGAGGATGCTGTGCTGTGCTCCCGAGTCACGTCCCCTGCCGGCTTCAAGCCCCGGGGCCTCCGAGGCAAAGCACGCACACATGTGATATACTAGGTGCTCAGTAAATACTGCTGAGCGCTGGAATGAAGAATGCCACGTCACCCCTGAATCCCACAGACTGTGCCAGACTCCCCCGAGGTAATGACACAATGTGAGGACGCTGGTCCTGAGCGTGTCTTCGCGGTGCTGGGCACAAAGGGGCCCTTCCTGGGTGGGGCCGTTTATGGAGGCTCCTGAAGGAGAGCTTGGCTGGGGCCCTCTGCCTGTCCCAGCATTGCCCAGGAGCGGTTGGAAATGCAGGTTCTTGGGCCCAGCCCAGCCCTACTGTGTCGGGCTCCTTGATTCGGGAGCTTCCCAGGAGATCTTATCAGAAGCAGGTGTTTAACCTGGAGATTATTCTGTTTTACTGTGTTAAAACGTGCCTAACAGTATTTACTACCTTAACCATAAGGTAAGCGTACAATTCAGTGGCTTTAAGCACATTCCCACTGTTGTGTAACCCTCACCACCACCTATAGCCAGCATTTTTTCACCGTGTCCCCCAAACCCTGCTCCTGTTAAACCCTAACTCCTCTTCCTCCTCCCCCGGCCCCGGGCAACCACCATTCTGCCTTCTGTCGCTATGGATCTGACCCCTCAGTATTTGTCTTCTTGTGTCCGGCTTACTTCACCAAGATGGGTTTCCAAGGCCCCCCCATGCTGTAGCGTCTACCAAACTGTCCTTCTTTTTTGTGACCCGAGTGATGTTCCACACCTGCCCTATCCATTCACCTGTCAGTGGACATTCGGCTTGCGTCCGCTTTACAGCTGCTGTGAATCGTGCTGCTGTAAACAGCAGGGTGTCTGCTCGTGACCCTGCTCTCTGTTCTTTTGAGGACGTGCTTTGGGATGGCATTGCCGACTTACGTGGTAGTTCTGGGTTTGTTATGCGCGGTGGCCACCCCGTTTTGCATTCCCCGCCAACGGCGTATGTGGGTTCCAGTTTCTCCATATCCTCACCAATAGTTGTTATTTTCTTTCTCTGTGTTTTATGTATGATAACCCTCCTAGGGGGTGTGTGTGCTGAGCGGTCCCGGTCTTATCGCCCATGGCAGGTGCGGAGGACGGGCTGGGGGTTTTAACTAAAGGAGTCATCTGGGCTTACCGATGGGCCTCTCCTTTGGAGATCTGATTCCTTCCGTCACAGGGTGGTGGGGGCCTGCGTGCCTCTGGATCTCCCTATGTGCCCCGTCACTAATGTCCTGGACAATGGCCAAAGCAATCTCTAACCTCTCCTGTCTTTCCCAGTCACTGCCCTGGGCCTGGAGCCGGGAGAGGCTGGTGGGACTCAACCCGCAGCCACCTCCCCCAAGCCCAGGGGCTGGGCTTGCCCGAGGTCTGGGTTCCAAGGGTCTGAGACAGGGGCCGTGTTGTGGGAGAGACTTTACGTTCGGTTTCTAAAAGCCTGGGTTCAAATCCTGGTTTGGATTTGGGACACGTGGTTCCACCAGGCTGGGCCCCAGAACATCCTTCTCACCTTCGTTCCAGTGTGGTGTGATATATACACAGCGACATGGTGACAGAGTCCGATGGGATGCTCCTTAGGAAATGTCTCCAGGTTCTACCAGGGGTGAGGAAGTCAGAAGTCTCGAGCTTGGTCTTAAAGGGTGAAAGCGATTTGCCAGGCAGACATCGGAGGCCTTGACGCATCCAGCAAAGGGCTAGTTTCTCAGTCTTGCTGGAGCCCGGTGGTCCCTGGGGGGTGGGAGGTGGGGGGTGGTCAGGAGGAGGAAGGGAGCAGAGGGGCGGGTGGTGGGCACGGAGGGTCACCTGACCTTTCTCTCGTGTGGCTTTCTCATATTACCGGGTCTCGATGCCTCAGTGGCTGGCAGAGTAGCTCGCACACAGTAGGTGCTCAATAAACATTTGTGGAAT